ACTAAAGTCTGTGCTCTTAACCGCTGAGCCATCTCTCCAACCCAATATATTCCTTTTTAAATAAGGGAGGGAGGGAGGGAGGGAGGGAGACTGACTTAAATAGATGAGACATTCTTAAACGAAGCTTGAGAACATGCTTAGGATATTCTTGGAACCCTGTGGATAACTTTGAAAATCATTCTACCTAGAACATGTCATTTGAGCTTTTAAAATTTATTTTTTACTAATCATATTTTATAAGAAAATCCAATGTGTATATTAGACTAACCTGGAGAAGCCACCACTAAGACGCAAGTAAACAATGTCCTCATGCTTTCTGTTACAGCAGCCAAGACTAAATAGCAGATACCAGAATTATGAAAACATCAGAGGGAGAGAGATAATTTTTTGCAGCTCAGAAATAACCTTATAAAGATATATGATACAAGTTTACATTAAAGAAAACCAAGAATCTGAGTTTATATGAACAGTATTAGAAAATCACGACATACACACACACACAACGCAAGAGTGAACTGACAAGCTATATGGGAAAGGTTGCTCTTTTCTCTGCTTCTCTACAGATAATTTTCCTAGGCTGTGTATTTTACTAATGAAGATAATGCCCCCAGGAGTGGATGAATCTTTTCAAATGAAGAGCTATCAATTACTGGCAAGAAAGTCAAAATACTTGAAGGACAAGGTTCTTCAAAAAAAAAAAAAAAAAAAAAAAAAAAAAGATAAAGTATAAGGAATCAAAATATCCACATATCAACCTAAGACATATGACAAATGAAGCGACATTAATTAAAGTCACAGAGGAGAAATGTCACCCTGACAAAGGTTCAATCACGATAAAAGATAGCTATCTATGTTTTCTTTTAAAGTGAGTGCTGACAGTCATACTGCAGGGCTAAAAGGCAGCTGGCCTAGGACCTACAGCTAAGGAAAGGGCATTTAAAGGAGCTTATTTTTAATGATCTGTGTATGAAGAGAGGTAGAAATGACTGCAGTGCCTCCAGAGGCTAGAAGAGAGCATCAGAACCCCTGCGGCTGGAGTGATAGGTGCTTCTGAGTCAACAGGCATCCTCAACTTCACACTCCCTTTATCTACTAAGCCATCTCTCCAACCCCATGAATACTGACACTTCAAGAGATCTCAGCAGGCCAGGATAAAGGAGTCATAATTTAGTAAACTAAGCAGAGAGGGGTCCATTTAGAAACATCTGTTATTAGCTACATCAGATCAGAAATTGTCTTTCCTAAACCCAGGGAGAAGCAGAAGTAATGAAAACCAGCTTGTAAGATATAACAGCCCCTAAGCCTACTCAATGTGGAAATAGATGTGTTACCTGAGAAATAAGGATTTAAGAGCATGAAGAGAGTAAGCAGTAACATCAGTCCAGATGAACGTACACAGAACATTTACTATGCATGATCTTGATATTCTCTCCACTGTACTTCACAACTTGAGACCACGACTTAAGTGAAACCCTGAGCAGAAGGGGAGCTGAAAGCAGGTAGTCACATATGACTGAGTAATAGGAAAGTAGCTTCCATGAAAGTCAAGCAATGAATACCAAAAAAAGAAAAGACTAAAGTAATAGAAATGCAGAAACTACAATGTTCTAAAATAAACAAACATAAAGGATGAAGGAAGAGAGACATTATATGACTGTGTGTCTTGAGAAAATTGGGACAAAGGGAAACATGTACCTCTTTAACTGCTGAGCCATCTCTCCACTCACTATTTAGCTTTAATTATTACAGTGTGTGTGTGCGCGCGCACTCACCATGCATGGTGTATATGGTGGGGCCAAGACACACATGTGGAGATGAGAAGGTAATTTATGGAGGCCTTTCTGCTTCACCTTTATGCAAGCTCAAAGGGCTGGATTAGGCTACCAGCTTTACTACCTGGAAATTTGGGGTTTTGTTTTGTTTTGTTTTTGTTTTGTTTTGTTTTTCCAGACAGGGTTTCTCTGCATAGCCCTGGCTGTCCTGGAACTTGGCTTATAGACAGGTTGGCTTTGAACTCAGAGATTGCCTGCCTCTGCCTCCCAAGTGCTGAGATTAAAGGCATGCGCCACTACCACCACCAGGCTGCCAGGGAACATTTTTTACTGACCCTTTTGCAATAGTCTCAAATGTTTTTATTCATCAAAATAAAAAGGGCGCCAATAAGTTGGTTCTTAGACTTCACAAGAACTGGTATGAAAAGAAATTTCTATTGTTTTTCATGAAGCCTGGTATTGCCATGGTAACCCCACACAAGTAATATACCTATGCACATCTAAAAATCAGATCAAGACCTGATTATTCAAAAGTAAAAACCCCTTAAACACCTGACAAGAGACCTGGTGGTAACCACCCCACTACTCAGATCCAGAAACATACTAAGAGATGTGTATGTGCAATTCAATTCAGTACTCACAAAAATGTTCTGAGTTTGAGTAGCTAGCTACTAATGCTACTCCAAGATGAAAGAGCTTTAGCCTGAGTGACAGGAAACCAATGTCCTGTAAGCTAGAAACAGCAGTCAACACTGATTCTGTCCATAGTACCAGTTATTACACACAAAAGTATCCATTAAAGTTTAGGGTCAAAGACCCTAGTAGAGAAGCTATTGCTTTTTGCTGTTTTATTCTTTTTTAATTATACTTTCTTAATTTTTATGTGTATGGGTGTTTTGCCTGCATGAATGTCTATGCACCATATGCATGCAGTGGCCACAGAGACCATAAGAGAGTGTGTTGGATCCCAGAGTTTGGACAGTGTGAGCCACCCTTTAAGTGTCCTCTGAAAGAGCAGATAAAACTCATAACCACTTTAGCTATTTCTCAAGCCTCTCCTCCCCAACCCCAAAGGTTTTTGTTTGTATTTTTAAGAATTTACTTATCTTATTTTATGTATATGAGTGTTTTGCCTGTGTGTACGTAGTTAAACCATATGTATGCAATGCCTATGGAGGTCAGAAGAGGGTAATGGATCCCCTGGAACCAAAGTTAAGGACAGTAGTGAGATCCCATGCAATGATGGAGACTGGACCTGAGAACTCTGAGAGCAGCCAAGTGATCATAACTGCAGAGTCATGTCTCGAGCCCCACACTGCAACTGGCTCCAGAACCAATGCTCTCATATGCTATGACACATCAGTGACATACCAAAGTTACCCTTAGAACGAAACTTTATTTCGTTAACATTGTCCTTTGCAGTAACCTAAACTCTGCTTTCAACTTAACCAGAAAAAGATTTCATATGGAAAGAAGTATTTATGCTATTATAAAACTTCCTTCAATTAACTTGGAAAAACAAAACATATCATAAAGATGTGCTAAATTGGAATATTCTCCCCCTATACTCACCATACTAATTGACTACATACAAATCAATTTTCAAAATAGATGGAAGAAACACATGGATGTTTCCTTTACAATCTTATTCTTTTTAAAGAATCTGTGTCTAAAGTAACAGAGGCAAAAGTAAAACAAAAGCTCTTGCGCCAGGCACCAGATTCGTATGTTAAGATCTTTTTCATTTTTAAAAACACATGATTTTGGTTAACAGCAACAGCAAAAATAAAATTTTATATCTACATATTTTTCTTCCATTCCTTTGACATACTTCATTATAATGACCACATTAGCAGGGACCTGTAACTATTCTGACATTAAAACACAGAAAGTTGGGTCAAGGAATGATAGTCCACACTTTTAATCCCAGTACTCAGGAGTCAAAGACAGGAAGATCTCTGTGAGTTGTGATTCCAGACTGATCTACACAGCGAGACCCTGTCTCAAAACAAAATAAAGCATGACCAGTTTGACTTGGATGTTGGCTTAACTGGTAAGTGTGCTTGCATGGCATATGTGAAGGCCTGGACTAGGTCCCCTACACCCTGTAAAACAGAGCATGAGGGGCACACCAGTAATTCCAACACTTAGGAAGTAGAAGCAAAAGGATCAGAAGTTCAAGGTCATTTTCAACACACTGAATCCCCAGCCAGTCTAAACTGTAGATCCTGTCTAAAAAAACAAAGCCAAAAAGCAAACAAGGGTAAGTACAGATCTGACACACATCTGTTCAAACTACAACTGCAAATTCTAGTATCTCTTCCATAATTAGAATAATCATTAAAGTATGCAGAAAACAACATATTTGTATGAAATATGATTTGGCTCTATATATCAAATTAGCAATGAAAGTAATAAAATAGTTAACCTTTAGGGAGTACTCTAACTAGCATTTCTTATCTTACTATTTCACTTAATCATCATCCTCCCCAGTGGCCCTCACAGAATAAGTACTTTGTCTATTCAGATCAGAACTTGGGAGAAGAATTTACACTTAAAGTGATCACTGTTTCTCATTGCCATCAAGAGGATAAAACACTGTTAGGTCAGAACAATTATTGAAGCCTCATGCTTAGGTATTAACAACAAGATCACCATTATACTGCCTTATTTAATATAAATACACTATTTAGTGCTAAAGGTTATATTTACACTTTCATCTCCAAAGACAGTTTCTTCTTTGTGATATTCATGTGTGTATATATAATACATATGGTGGGGAGAGAGAGACAGAGAGAAAGAGAGAGAGAGAGAGAGAGAGAGAGAACTCACTGTATGGCCAGCTGGCCTTGAAATCAGAGATTGGTCTACCTCAACATCCTGAATGCTGGGATTAAAGGCATTCACCATCATAACCAATTTCAGTCTGATCTTTCTTAGTGAAAATACAGCTTTCATACAGTATAATGCTAGGGTATAATATAGTACAGTATTAACTTTTAGGCAGATCACATGTGAAACCAAACTGGCATTATTCTAAATCACTGTGTTTTAAAGCTGGAATACTATTAGTGACAGGCTGTCCTTTTTTTAAAGATGAGAACACTGAGGAATGACTTTATGAAAGACATAAAACCAATTCCTTGAGTGCCTAAACACAATTTAGAACTATCCAACTGCTATGAAGGGAAAAAAAAGGTAGTAAGAACCAAATAAATCATATCTTACCAACTGAACTTCACCAAAAGCTCCTCTTCCAATAACTTTTACAACATCATAGTCTTCTGCTTTCATCTGTAAACCTCTGATTTTTTTCACAATTTTCTCATCTATAAAAAAGATCACCATACTTTTAATAGCAACCATATATTAGAAACATTCAAAAATAGTCACCCGTATTTGTAAATATGTTTTATTACTAGATATTACAATTAATTTTTAGTTGATCCTGTTAGTCTTTAGGATCCTATTTTAACACTGTAAAATGTGGGGACATGTATAGTGCAGTAACAGACTGCTTACTTAACATGTGAGTTCCTAGGTTCCAACCCAGCACCGAAATAAACACTCTAAGACGTATGCTATCTTTGCATCAAGGGACCAAACTGTGATTTGTTGGCACGTGCCCATTTGCCACACTTTCAAAAAGCGTACTAAAGGTGCTCCGCTTCTCAATTCACTGTGTACAAGTGACAGCAACAACCCAAGCAATCCTAATGCTTTATCAGTCACGAGAGAAAGCAGCATGTCACCCAGGACCAGGGGGCTAAACACAAGGACTACATATCAAGCTGGCCTAGGCCATATTGCTAGAAGTTATCTCAAAAGAGAAGAGGAAAGGGTGAAATTACTTTCAAATCCAAATTTAGCAATGAAAGCTTAACCTACTTCTCTAAGAGGCAGTAATCACATATTTCAAATCAAGTACTATAGTAAGCATTAAATAAAAAAATAACCTAGCACTGCCAATTCCAAAATAAAGGATTTAGCTGTGGGGATGAAGAGGATGCATTAATCATGCTGAAACTTCCTTTTCTCCTTTATTAGACATTTTTAGAATTTTAAGTTTTCTGCATCAGGTGTTTGTCTCAGTCCCACTGGACCGGTTATTCTCTACCCACCGGGTCCCTCAGCTGCTTAATGAAGTGACCACTCTGAGAGTTACTATCAGTTATAATCATTTAGCCAATAGCTCAGGCTCTTTTTTGGCTAGCTCTCTCTCTTTCTCTCTCCCTCTTCCTCTCTCTTAATTATTGATCCAATTCTATTAATCTGTGTATCTCCACATGGCCTTGGCTTACCAAGGTGATGCCCGGGCCTCTTGACTCCCCAGCTGCTACATGGCATCTATACTTTCTCTTCCTTTTCCTGCCTCTTTGTTCAGAATTCCTGCCTAGCTAAATTCTGCCTGTCCATTGGCCGAAACAGTTTTATTAATCATCCAACAAGAGAAACATATTTACAGCATACAGAAGGGCATTCCCCCATCATGTGTTTAAAGAATGTGGGTTTATGTGAGAGTGGTGCCATCAGAAATCAGATGAGGGCATCAGAATCCCCAGGAATTAGTAACAGGTGGTTGTGAGCTGCCTGACTTGGGTGCTGGGAACTGAACTCAGTTCCTCTGCAAGAACAGTATGTGTTCTTAACAGTTGAGCCACCTCTAAGCCCCTGGGATTAACTCCCCTCCCCCCTTTTTTTGAGACTTGCTTTGTAGCCCAGGCTAGCCTTAAAACTGTACTAGTCCTCCTGTCTCAACCTCCTGGATTGCTACACACAAGCACAATCCACTATGCCCAACTCACTTTGAGGATACATTTTCAGAATCCACCTATTCCAACATAATGCTAACAAACATTAAGGATAATCATATATATACATGGTACTAACTGCTATCAGAACATTTTTTCCTTAACGAGACTTAATATACATAAATTGCTAAAACAAAGCTTATTAAAGTCTTCTGGATAAGTAAAAGCAAAGTCATAGAGTTACATTTTAACTTAAAATTTTGCTTAGATCATCCATAACCAAGTTATATGGTTTTAACAACTCATATAAATTTTACCTTTCAAATTTTATCTACTTTACATATTGTAACTTAGTTCAGCAGTTACTTTGAAAATAGAAAATAATACTTTTAAATGAAACAAATAGCATACTTAATAAAAGCAAGTTTTGTAAGTTATTAGGTTGTGGTAGTTTGAATAAAAATAGCCCCACAGGTTCATATATTCGAATGCATAGTTACCAGGGAATGGTATTATTTGAAAGGAGTAGAAGGATTAGGAGGTGTGGCCTTGTTGGAGGAAGTCCGTCACTGGGGATGGGTTCTGGGTTTCAGAAGTCCATGCCAAACCCAGTGGCCCTCTTTTGGCCTTCGGATCAGGATGTGGCTCTCAGCTACTGCTGCCATGTATATCACCCTGTCTCCCTGCCATGATGACAAAGGACTAAACCTCAAACTGTAATCACCAGTTCTCTTGGTAATGATGCCTCTTCACAGCAACAGAACAATTGCTAGGTCATAGGTTAACAAGGTTAATAGATTTAAGTACCAAAAATTTAAACACATCTCATTTAAAGCACAGCTGTATGTCCAAACATGAATAGTAAAAATAAACATACTTACATCTATTTAAGAAATTATCTATATTTTTATTTTTCCTCAAAGCAGGAAAATCCAAGTCAAGGACCAAGGAATTTAGGCCATCCTGTTAAAAAATAAAGAGTCAGTTTGTATAATTCTCAAGCATTCAAAAGTCTTTAAATCTCATACACGCTGCTCCCACTGAGTAAATACGAATCCACATTAATATACTGTGAGTTCAACATGTCCAACAGCTTGAACAAGTTTCCTCGCCTGAGAATGCAGGCTGAGAAGCTGGGAGTGTGCACAAGGCCAGAGTTTGACATCCAGCAAAGCAAAGAAACATAAATGCAGCTTATAAGTTTTCACTCACTTAAAAATCATTAATTTTTTGTCTATTACATATGGAAAGAAGGCAGGAAGGGACCAATAATAAGTAAGATGACATCCTTTTCCAGGAAAATGGATGGAACTAGAAAGGATCATACTGACTAAGGCAACCCAGACCCAGAGTGACAAATACTGCATATCCTCTCATCAAAGACTCCTATCCCCCAAAGCTTCAGATATCAGCATATATCCTGAAACAAATGCAGGTGATTTAAAAGGCCAACCTAGGCTTATACTGTCTCACAAAAAATGTGTGCTTTCTATTTCACCCAGAAAAATCTGAATCACATTAATTGACCTGCTGTCGTTTATCATTAAGAGCTGAACACAGGCTATTTATAATTCTGTATTATGGTTTTGTAGGTATTAGGAGATTTTTAAGCCCAATTATATGACAGACTAACTTTATCCCATCTTCAACAAGAGTTTTATTACCTAGTAAAAGAGATGTTTGCCTAAAGAAGACAAGATTTACAGAACACAAGGAATAAGAATGAACTAAAAGTAAAAGGTAAAGGGGCTGCTGCAATAACTCAGCGGGCAAAGCACTGCACCAGCCTAATGACCTGAAATTGACCCCAGAACTACCCATGGTAAAAAGCCTGATACATCTGTATCCTAGCTCTTTTACCAAGAGGTTGGAGCCAGAGACAGGAGAAATTTCCTGTAATCCCTAGCCTGAGTACTCAGAATAGCAGAAAAAAAGAAATCTTTGCCTCAACAAGGTAGAAGGGAAGAACCAACTCTTGAAAGTTGCTGTCTGACCTCTACACAAATACCATGATACACATATACATCACATAAACCTATAATAATGATAGGTAATTATGATAAAAAAAATTAAGGTGAAAATGGACCATATATTTTGCCACATGAATTAACTTGATTATAAAAGCCAAAGTTACTGGCTCAATAGAACATAAAAACAGTCTTCCTATTTCTTCTTATGAAACTCTTACCTACAACTACAGAAAAACCATCTCTTAAGACCCCTGAAACCTGGTGTTGGTGATGCACACCTTTAATCCCAGCACTCGGGAAGCAGAGGCCAGCATGGTCTACAGAGACAGGCTCCTAAGCAATACAGAGAAACCCTGCCTCAAAATACAAACAAAAAGACCCCTGAAGACGCCTTTAATCCTAGCACTCAGAAGGTAGAGCAGGTGGAGCTTTATGAATTCAAGGCCATCCTGGTCTACATAGTGAATTCCTGAACAGCTATAGCTGTGTAGAGAGACCCTGCATTAAAATAATAAATAAATAGATAAATAAGTTGGGGGGAGGAAGGGAGAGACACTGGTTCCCTGATGCCTTAAAACATAGGGAATACACTGATAAAATATTAGGTACCATTCATACTTGGACACTGAAAAAGTAACCAATCACATGCACTCTGAACTTCAGGGAGTTATAGACTCTTGCAGTGAAGCACACTCACCCAGCTGGTCTCTACCCTTCCAAGCACTGTGCCCTGCATTTTCTCATCTCTGGAAAGAAGCGCTCTCCCTCTCATCTGTCCAATATTACTCATTTCCCACATGCTCATTAGAGGGAGAGCTTTCTCACTTCTCCCCATCTTGGATTTAAGTCTCTTTTCTGAACCACCTCAGAAAAGTATTTTCATTTTGCATTGAAATATTCACTAAAAAAAATTATTTTTCCTCCCACAGAGGGTTTCTCTGTGTAGCCCTCACTGTTCTGGAACTTGCTTTGTAGACAAGGCTGACCTTGAACTCAGAAATCTACCTGTTTCTGCCTTCTGAGTGCTGGGATTAAAAATATGCACAACCATTCCTGGATTCTGTAGAGTTTCATATCTAAGGACCAGAGCTGGTTCTACCTCAGTTCTGGTCCTTAGAGATTGCCTGCTACAACATGATATTAACTACATAGCAATGAGTTGTGACAGCAAGTCATCAACTACAGCACATTTTAGATGTAAGAAAATATGTGAGAAATTACTACTGACCCAGTCAAAATACTGCAGTGTTAACAGCAAGTATATACCCAGGGCCTGGTATCAAAACTGATAGACACTTACATGTAACAACACCTCATTTAATTTTCCTAGCAAACTGTACAAGAAGTTACCCTTTTTTTCCTTAGTTATGAAGACTAAGCTTTGAGAAGTTAAAACAACTTCCCAGATCTGTCTTGGGGGCTAAACCAAAGCTGCAGGTGCAGACATGTTGGTGATGTTGGGCACAACTGCCAAGAGACAGCAATCACAACTTTATTTTTTTATTTTTTTCCTTTTTTAAATTAGAAACAATCTTATTTCATATATCAATACCAGTTCCCTCTCCCTCCCATCAAAGTCTGTTACATCATTTGGGACAGGGCCTAGGCCCTCCCCAATGTGTCTAGCCTGAGAGAATATCCCTCTATGGGGAATTGGCTCCCAATGTCCATTCATACACTAGGGATAAATACTGTTCTACTGCCAGAGGTCCCATAGCCTGCCCAGGCCTCCTAACTGACACCCATGTTCAGGGGGCCTGATTCCATCCTATGGTGGTTTTTGAGCTGTCAGTCTGGAGTCCATGAGCTCCCCCTGATCACAACTTTATTTTAATCACTACAAAGATTCTTACTCTTTTGATCCTATTCTAATTTCTCCAATATTCCTGTGCATGGCTTTTCAAGAACACATATTTTAGAGCTGGCAAGATGGGTAAAGGCATCTACCGCCAATTCTGACAACTTGTTTCAATTTTTAAGCCCTACATTGTAGGAGAGAGAATTCCCAAGTTGTTCTGACTTCCTCGTGTGCACACACACACAAACACCCACACATTAAAAGAGAATCATAGTCCAACAAGCCATTTAAAACCTAGACAATGTTGTTACTGCCCTGAATTGAATCAAGCATTGAACTAATTTTCATTAAATGAAATGATAATGATTTGGAAAATCTCTTTAGCTTTTCTGTTTTGTTCCATTTCTTTAATATGAAAGGATCTACTCTAAAAAATCCAGACACTACTAGGAAACATTAGTTTTCCCTGTATTTTCCTTTGTTTTGACTGACATATACCAGAAACAACTGGTAGAATTTGCAGTTTTCTTAAATAAGAAACAAATAAAAGAGTAAGGAAATTGTGCAGTGAGGACTTACTAGACAATTGGAGAGAAGCAGTCCCATGTTCTAACCTATCAAACACATGCTGCACACTGCTGTAGCATAACCAAAAAAGACAAATGCACCCTCAGTATCAATTACTTCTTTCACACATTATAATATTAAAGACAGCTTTTCTAATAGTCACCAGGGCAGATTCTCCACCAGAAAACACAGAAACTCACAGACAGGACTACACACATTCAGAGAGTGAGCTTTTACAAACCAAGGACACAGCACGCTGTAATACATCATCTCACCAACACTGTAATTAGAAAAGATAAGAGTGTGAAGTGTAAGAAAGTATTTTCAATCCTTTGTGGTGAGATGAAAAGCTACCATGAAAGCTAGTTTTATTAAAACAAGACTTTTCTGGGTAATTATTCACAACACACATTTTTAAAACTTACAGATGGATTATATATTCTTCTAAAAAAAAGTGAAATTGCTCTAAACTTACTGATTTTGCCTCACTATAGCAAGTTATTAACAACAGTATCCTGGTGGATACTTTTAGGGAAAAGTCTAAGGACAACAGTAAATAACACCCCCCCAAAAAAAAGTTTTTAAAGAAATGACTGCTATAGAGGAAATATTTTGAAAAGGGCTATCTGGGCCTTGTGTCATCAGGCACTTGTGAGTACTACTAAGTAACATGCTTTGCACCCTGGGATGAATGAACTATGTTAACTTGCATGCTTAAAATCTTTAAACTATATTCTCATGGCTCAGTGGTTGAGAGCACTGGCTACTCTTCCAGAGGACCCAGTTCAATCCCCAGCACCCACATGGCAGCTCACAGCTGTTTGCAGGTCGCATTCCAGGATCCAGTGCCCTCATACATACATGCAGGCAAAATACCCATGTATATGAAATAAAAATAAAGAAGAACTTCAAACTATATGCTAAGCCAACTAAAACTACAAGTAGTTGCATGTGTTTTTGCTATTCTACTTCGCCATGTCACTGCTGCTGCTTACTGCTTATTCCTTACTGTTAAGCCACTTTAGAGAACTAAGTTCCACCTTCCTGTAGTAATGCCCCACTTTATCTCTGATGGGAGTGTTCTGGTGTGCACTGTGCCTAATGCTAATAAAGCATTACAGAACATGCATGTGCACAAAGGCATTTTGCCTTGAGGTCAATGGCACCATGGTTGACAGAGCCAGTGAAGCTGAGTGAATTAAAACACAAAATGTTATTGATAAAATACAAAAATGCAGATAACCTAGTTCATTTTTAAGAGCTACCATCCACCATCCAAAGAAAGCAAAAGCTTATGAAGACTCAATAACCACAAAAAAAGTTATTAGTTGGTGAACAAAATCAATAAATTTAGTAACTGGTATGTTGTGCGCCCTTCTGTTGTGGAATATTATTTTAACTATGTATAGGTGTGTGACATTTGTTTCTGTTGCTTTTGTTAACAATGCAACTACAGGCTACATTTGTTTGATTAAATAAAATTAACCTGGGGTCAGGAGGCTGAGTCAGCAACTAACTGAAGGGAAGTGGTAGGGAGGAACTAAGTGTAGCGAGTTCTTCAGTAGGGGCTGAGCAGAAAGATGGACCCTTTTTCGGGAGACAGGAGCAAGGAGAGAGGTTAAGCTACT